TTGGAGTGTTGGTGGGGAGGGGGTCGGTTAAAGCCCTGCCCAGCCCCGCTCTCTCTGCCGTCCCTCACAACCGCCTTCATTCTATTATGTTTTCAAGTTTCGTATACATGCAAAAGGTAGTGGGGTGGTTACCATAATAAAATCAAGTTACAGTTTAGTAAATTGGTGCAAAGTCTAAAAAAATCTCTCCATAACACATACGTAAGCAAACTCACTGAACAGAAGTCACGAGCTGCAGAAATATTGCCGGTTCACGATCAAAATTCCAAGTTTTCCGGAAATAGTTGTTATATGTTTAGGAGGCACGCGCTCGATTCAAGCAACGATGTCCAGACACGGAACAGACACCCCCCTCTTTTGCCCTCTTTATTTGGAGGAGACCCATCTTCTAGTCCTCCCAGGAAGGTACCACCCTACAAGCCAATCTAATTTCTTATTCATTCAAATATTTCGAAGTTTTTGATTGGCTCCAATCCTACGGCTAATTCTTCATAACCAACCGACGCTTACCATATTTGGAAGATGCGGGCAATATACCATCGATTCTATGGTATATTTCATTGAAAACGAGTATGCGTGAGCAATAGTGAACTAAAATATGGCTTTCACAGCTATTCTAAGACGAATTAGCTGAATTTCTGACTTAACCTGAATGGACGAAATGCAAGAATACGCAAAACAAATTGCTCGAAGGATGTTATCTACTTTTTGAGGAGTATCTGCATGCACGGTAAAACATTTGTTCAATATCCTGAAACCATGCCAAGAACTAGGCCAAGTTTTTGAAGAAAGTCTACGATGAGGTAAGCATGTTAATAATTTAGAAATATTTTGAATAAATAATAAAACATTTACCTTATTACAGGAAATGAACGCTCCATGAAATTAAGGTATTGGAAATTAACGCGAATTTAATGGAAAACGACTTTCGAATAAAGAAAATTAACGCGAAAGAGGAGGTAGAGCTTCACATTGAAGGAAATTAACGCGATTAAGACACGGTGGTGACAACTGGAACAAATTTATTTCAACACTCTATGCAAAAAAATTCAAAACTGAGCTGACATCACTTCTGATAGCGACAACGATAAAGGTGAACTCGAAATATTGTAAAAACCTTCTCCTTAGCTTTTGTCAAGAATGTCTGAACAGGTTCCAAAATTGGGGTTAAAATACTGGAAATTAAGAGAACGGAAATTAAAGCTGCACTTAATTAACGTCGCGGAAGTTAACGCTAAACAAAATTAACGCGACTTAAATTAACGCGAATTTTAACGATTCGCGTTAATTTCATGGAGCGTTAATTTCCTATAATAAGGTATTTAATTTGGCTTCCGTATGATGTGAAGAATTAGGTAGATCTCAGAGGATGTCGTCAAAGCCTCGGTGGATAACATCCTCCTCGATAGGCAAAATTCTTGACAACCTACTCAGCCTCTGATCAAAATCCCGAAGGAAACGATGCTGTCGATAGTCAGTAGTAAATAATCGTTAACCAAAACGTACACACGGAAAAATTTAATGCTCTAATTTCATACACTGTACTGGAAATATCACATAACATTTCTATTTGATGGTTAAGACCAACCTTGGGTACAATAAAAATACTACATGCGAACCAAGTGTAAATAAAAACGGTATCATTACCTCGCGGTGCATACCTATTGACCAGACACGGGGAACTAAGCTATGCCACGTCAACCAGCACAAGGGGAGGTTGGAGGGGCGATACTTTGAAGTAACTTCCACTGAACTTCGTTGAACTGGCCGAGAGGCGGGCAAAACCGAGTAATTCTAAATAAGGGCCGCAATGCATCATGCCACCAGCGCGGAAGCTGAATTTGAAGGAGTTACTTATTTCCCGCGTCATGGGCCAATTATGTATGCAGTGAGAATAGTTTACAGTCTTCAGGCAGAGTGATCTGATACAACAGTTAACTAATTTTTTAACTAATTTTTATACCGCTTACAGAAAATCGATTTGCCGCTTTTCAGTGAGACGAAGGCAAATAACAACAACAACCAAACATACCGTACTTACTCGAATAACTGCCGCCCCCGAATACGCGCCGCGGCCCTGATATAATCAAAATCTAAAAACGTTAATTCTGTTAGTTTAATACGAAAAATAAAAAAAATATACGGTAGTTGATACAATTCTTTATCGAGTCCAACTTTCAAATAAACGTCTCCCTCAAATAAGTGCCACACTTGAGGCATGAAAAATTTAATAAGGGCCATTTATAACTGTAAACAACTAAAAAGCTGTAATTTAGTACTTAAGCTAATACTTTGTGAGGAAATAAATTGAATTGAACGAACTGAATTGAATCTAGTAAACAAAAAGACAGACAGACGAACAAATGAATTTGGGTAGTTGTTCAGTAAGTTTCAGTAGTAAAATGATGTCATGATATAAATGGCCTATTCCCTATGTCACTTAGCGTTGGCGACAAATCGACGCGTTCTGATTTATCGCTCCTACACAACTGGATTTATCAAGCGACTTGACAACTACAATAATGGTTCCTTGCTCCAGCTGAGTTCTGTACACACAAACACTCTCTTCCTTTTAGACTGCGCAGCATTTACTTGTCGGAAGGTTACACCCCAGCAACACCAACTGTAAAAGGAAGGTTTTCCATGTTATTGTAAAAGCAATCTTCTTTTACTTTTAAAATCACTGATCTGGAGTGGTAAATTTGCCGTTACAAATTTGAATTGATAAAGAGAGTTTAAATGGTAATACCTCAGTGACTGGAAAATATGTCACATGATCCAAAACTATATATTTAAACCACGACAGAGCCATTAACAGTCTCCAAAAAGCAATAAACTCGATTGTAGAGTAAGGCAAGTAAATGATGATCATGGCGATGAACTCGGGTTTTTGGATTTTCCGCACCACAACATAAATAATTAATTACTTTGAATCGTTTTATCCTCAAACTTTACTTTTATTCCTGAGAAAAGTTGAAAAAACATACGTTTTCAATCAAAAATAGTTTGACCACTTAAAACTTATGACGTCATATCTCGTAACCATAGTAACTGACCGTCCTTAAACTTGTCCCAAAATGCGCGCGAGGGATAAACAAACAGCTACAGAAAACTTCCGGTGCTGATTTTGTATCAAAAATGATGTTGTATTAGAAAAATATAGAAAAATAACGAGTACCCCCCCTTACCCTGGCCCCCCACCATCCTCGCCGGACAATTTCTGTTCTCTCGCTCTCTATTACACAATAAACATATTGGCCACTGAAAATCGAAGGCGGTAAACCGTCTGATCGGAGATAAAGGCCACCCTAAAACGGCGACAAAAAGGGGCGCGAGGGATAAACAAACAGCCAAAGAAAGAATCCGGGGCAGATTTTGAAAAAAAAAAACGGTGTGATTAAAAAAAATAAAAAAAACCCCCCCCCCCCCCCCCTGTACGTTCGATGATTAATGCTGTGTTTCGTATTTGCCTATTGAAATCGCGAAAACAAAACCCCAGCGAAATGCTTTCTCGCCAAAATCGCGAAATTATACCAATAAGGTATGTTCAGTGAATATTAAGCTTACCATGTTTTAATAAGAACTCCATGTCAACCTCTGAATCCTGGAATGTTCAGAATTATTAATACTTTAGAACTGTTCTGTTTTCATGACAAAGGAAAAATCTTGAAGTGCAGGTTATTCAGTTGCCCCCGCTCCTTCCTCCACTGGGAGCATTTGAAACAATGCCAATATTCTACCGGTTTTCTTCCATCCATGGTTAAGTCAAAGGACACGGCAAGATTATTTTACTAACTGCATTATTATTATTATTATTATTATTATTATTATTATTATTATTATTATTATTATTATTATTATTATTATTATTATTATTATTAAGGAAAAGGAGAGAAAATACCAACAGAGAGTCTTAAATTTAGAAATGGGTACTTTAAAACTCTTGGTCTTGGGCGCAAATAGTGATATGGGTACTAAAAGTCAACATTTTCTTAGAATCTAGCGAGCTAACTCTGCATAATGATTATATATGCATCCACGATGACATGGGGCTCATCCTCGGTGTAAGAACCTGTTAAACTCACAAGTGACGTAAAACAAAGGAAACAAAGAAGTCAACACAATAGAACGTCGAAAAACAAAAGGTGTGAAACAAAGAAAAAGTTCACAGGTTCTTACACCGAGGTAAACCCTGACATGGTTAAGAACACGCTTAAGGTTTAAAAGTTTGAGATCTGCAAAAATGTGTGTCACATGGTCAAGAAGTCCTTTTAGATATAACAAGCAAAGATACATTAGATGACTTTTATTTGAGCAGTTTTATAGTGGATGTAAAGTGATGCAATTTTCTCTCTGTTTTTCGCTTTTTTAAATTTTCTCTTCCTTGACGATTTCCATTCACCTAATCTTGGTAAGAGACAGTGTTGAGAATATTATAGTCAGTGTTATTAATTTGTGCCTTTGAAGAAACGTATTTCAACTGTACATGTTTTACACAAAGAAAGAGATCCTTTTTAAACATTTTGAAAAAGTGTGAATATTTTATCCGAATAGACTTTACTTGAAACGTTGTAATTACTTAAGGATAGTTTTGTTGTTGAGGTGTAGATTAGAAAGTGTGATTTACCTGATTAATAAAGAATTCATTTTTGTTTATTACTATTATTGTTATTATTATTATTATTATTATTATTATTATAATCAGTAACTTTAATTATATAATCAAGAAAATGATAAATATAGCCATTAGAGCAACATATTACATCTTTTTTTAGAAACAGGGATTGGGATAGTCCAGACTTAATGTAATCTTGATTTCTTTTCTTTTTTCTTTCTTTTTTTTTTTTTTTGAATAATCCAATCTCAAGCAGCATTTGTAAATTGCCTATACGTAGCGAGATTTACAATTGTACATTCAAAAACACAAATAAAGTTTCCATTATTATTATTATTATTATACTTTTTTTTTGCCAGTACACCCATCGAAGCGTTCTCTTACCTCGAAATTGAAAGTAGTTTCCAAGCATTTTTATAGCTCTCTCGCTGGTTTCCATCAGAACGAAAACAAAATGCTGACCATGAAAATTTTTGTGAATATTTCTCAGCCTGAATTGTTTAAATTATTGTTTGCGTTCCTTCGTTTCAAGTACTCCGTCGTTTCTGCTTTATTTTACATTTCAGCTTAATGTCAACGTCTCCACACACGAGCTCGAGGGATTTGACGCATCTGGGTTCGTGGCAAAAAAAGTCCGCTGGGAAGTAACAGCGTTTTTAACAAATTTATCAAGCAATCTTGGCGATTTATCTAGCATACAGAAGATTTTCCACAATGTCTCTCCATAATCAGGCACGTAAACTGTTCAAAGTACGTACCTGGTTATCGAATTTAAATGTTTGGTTAACTTTGATGCCGATAGGTAAATTACTCAGTTTAAACTCCTTGGTACCCAGCGAATCGTCTACGGCCGGGTCTTCATCCATCAGCTGAATCTCTATAAAGATAAAAAGAAAAGATAAAGAGAAAAAAAGGTCAGCCAAACGTAGTGAAAATAATGAAAAGGGCTGTCAGTGTCTATGTATAAAAAAAAAATCAAGTCCTTGCGGGTTCAACTTTTGGGCAAAGTTTATGCATATGCCTCAAAAGAAAAAACATATTAAGCTTAACCAAGAACAATTTTTCTCTTTATGTTTTACGTGACGAACGTTTAAAAGCCTAACAAACTACAAGTGATGAAGAAAGATATATCCACGCCACGTGATCAGACCAAGACGTGGCCGGACGGCGACCAATTTTTGTTTTAGTAACATAACGCTTAATCAACAAGCCGAAACAGAGAAACGTTCAGTTCTAAAAGAAATATTATGGTTGATTTTTTATCAGTCGTGCCACGAAAAGTAAGGCCGAAAGTTCGATTCGTATTCGATGCATAAATAAAATGGGATAGCCTTCCCTTGTCTCATATATAACCAGTAGAACTAAAAATGGACCGCGACGCAGTGGGGTAAGGAAAACAAAGAGATGATAACACTCAAAAGCTTAATATATGTATCCATTCTTTTCAAGGTCTCAATGCGTTGTTTCTCTTCAATCCAGCAAAAATTGTACGAAGTGCATGACCGTTTCGTGCAAAGGGCCCATTTCTTGTATATAACATATTTTATGACACAGTCTTCACACTATACTGGATAGCTCTTGTGCCAGCGCAAAATCCATAGCGGATAGGGTCTCTGTTCGAACATATAAACGGTGTGTAACGGAGCGAAGCTGTGCCCCCCTTTTTTCCTTTCTTGCATTGTGAACAGGTATTCGATCAGACCTTAGTGGAATTGAATAAGAAGAGAGAATTGGAATCCACTAAGATGCAAGTAAACATTCATAAGTAAGGACTGGGAATTAGTTCACCAAACCCTCTCAGCCAACAGCTCTGGCACGATGTTCGATGTGTGTGAACGACTTGGCTTGTTCCAGTTATGTGCGCGCCGTTGCTGTTCACACTACACCAAACAGCTATCCGGTATAGTGTAAAAATTGCCTTATTAGTAAAATCCAACTAGTGGTCTATTACCAATACTGTGTTCTGATTGGTTGAGCTACTACTAGGCTATATGTTATAGCACACTAGTAGCGAAAAGCGCCTGCTTTGAAAACCCAAACAATGGCGGCTGAATCGCGTTTTGCTAGCTAAAGTTGTTTTGTCTCGATATTTTTGACCAACTAGTTGGATTTTACTCAAACAATCATTCCTCTCGCCTTCATGGCCTCTGAGTGACAATAGCTATTGTCACTCAGAGTCCATTCGGGCTCGAGGAATAATAATTGTTTAATCAGTGTCATTTCCATGAAAACAAAACAACAGCTCACCAAGAGTATGTTGAACATTTGGATCAAGAATATAATGGAACACTTCATCGTCCCACTTTGGGTTTTGAGTGCTTTTCTTTGCCTCTGTCCGGGTCGTCGTCCTCCTCCCATTTGCTGACTTTTGTATCAACTTTACGTACGGATCAGAGTGCTTACCTGGGTCTTCAAAATTCGAAAAGGCTATTAAAAGAGTCTTATTAAGAAGAGCCTGAGAACTAGGTTATATAAGTTTGAAACATGACGAACTGAAAAAAGGTGAACAGTTCGCACACTGGCAAAAGATTTCTTGGAATAAGCGATGTCAAGTTCACTGAATTTTGTAGTGTCACACAAGAAACCAGGATGACCTTCGAAGTGACCATGCTTTGGAGGTTTGTACTGATATATTTATCTTTTTACAAAATAAAGCTTTCTACGAACTACTTCTCAACTTTATTGACCTTACTCCAGGTTGAATAAGACATTTCAAAATATGAAGCCGTCTACGAGTAGAAACAATGTATATTTTTATCTAAAAAAAGTTTTCATGATCTTTACCTTATATTAATTTGAAGTAAAGCTTGATGGTAAAGTTCACTAGTTCTTCTTTGTATTGCGATTTTTTAAAAAAGTTCTCTTAGTTAATAGGTTTCCAGACTGTATGTATTTTAATTCAACAAAGGTTAGCACAAAATAGCGTAAAGACAAACAAACAAACAGACAAGTGGCCCACTTAAAACAGTGGATCCCAAGTATAACCTGCGAGGGCCAAGGAACTGTCAAAATTTGCTCTCTATAACTAGGTTTCGTTAAATCGAGATCATGATATTTTACTGTTACTGTAGGGGTAAAGAAAATCGTTCGTTCCGGGGGGGGAATCCTTATAAAAGGCCTATACGGGGAGGCTTTACCCGAAAGGGGTACCCTATCAGGCTTCAGGTATATGAAAGGGATTTCACTAGTTGATACATTAGAAAGGGTAGGGAAATCCGTCATTTTATATTTAAAAGATAGTGCCATAACAGTAGTTAAAAGGGATGCAAACTAAGCTTCTAAAGGGATACTACTTGTCACTGGAAGGTATACAAAAGGGGAACCTATTCTGTCACCGCGGGGCGGAGCCTCCCCGTATAAAACTGTTTTGTTTACCACCCCCTGGCGTTCGTTATACCGAGGACTTCGTTATACAGAGGTTCGTTACATCGGGGTTCCACTGTAAAGATATTAGAGTGGATATGATGAATCAAGATTAACATAACACTACACGCAATTTCAAATTACGAGTTTACAATTTAAATGTCACAAATCGACTGACTAACTACATTGAGATGTTCAAGATTGCAATTTGAATGATTCGTTTAGTTCCATGCCACAGAATTCATGACAAAGCTACAACTGAACAGATCCACATCTTTTAGTCTAAAAATTGAGTGTGAAGTACGCATAGCAGACACTAGACTTTCCCGGGAAATATTAAAATACATATTGAATTGCCACAAGAACAAAGAATGAACTTGCTCACTCTTTCTTGATTGCTAATAAAAGCGTATAAATTGCTCCAGTTGGTTGGTCATCCCTTTTAGGGACACCAATATGGCCGCCGGATACCAACAGAAACATCTGTTTTCTAGCTTTCCTACTAATGCATGAATTCTTCGCTTGAGGAACTCATAAAGATTAAAGTAATATTTATTCTGAGACAAAAAATGTTTAGATAGCAAAATCTCCCAAAATCAGTAATGTTTTTAATAGGCTTTTGTACATTATGCTAGCATTTTTTCGAGCATTTTAGTGAGGCAAAAGCATTGAGCATTATTCGAGCATTTTAGTGGCATTTTCCCCGGAAAATTAATTTTTCCGAGAAAATAAAATAGAAATTAACTTTTTTCAGGAGCCCATGCCCCATGAGCTCCTGCTTTTTTAAACAAAATGAAGACTAAAATTCAAAATTCACAAAACACCTAATACAGCTGGTTTTTTTGGCTGTATTTGTGAACTTGTACACGTTGTCGTTGTTACTTGCAACACTTGCACGTTTTTGTAAGTGTAAACTTTGAAATTAATTTTAAAAAACCGTTTGTATAATGAGCATTATCCGAGCATTTTAGTGACTTTTTTGGGGAGACCGAGCATTTTAGTGGGAAAAATGGAGCATTAAGGTGGAGCATTTTAGTAGGGAAGCAAAAGCATAATGTACAAAAGCCTAGTTTTTAACCCACATAAGAGCTCTCCTGGCCGTCAGCTAAATGCCGCGTCACGCAAAAGCCTTGAACCACAAGCGTCCTCTCTCGCAAAACGAAGAACCCTTTGGAACCAAAAATTTGTTTATATAAAGGTGTTTAGGTGCTGTAATACCTAGTGAAAGTAGAAACTCAGAAGAATGGATAGTTTCTTAGTTTGATTTTTAGTGACGTCACGTGCAAACCAAGAATACCACCCATGACAATAGCAACTTGCTACAATCTCCGCAAGCAAGCAAGCAATATGCAAGTAAATCGGTAGGAATGCATTTTCTGCTCCTATTTGGAGTCCAAGAAGTTTAAGCATAGACTAGAAGACCAATTATGTAGTAAGTCATTCAATTTGTGACTGATTCGGCTAGGTTTTCTGGAGGCGATTGGCCAAAATAAACATGACCGTCAATAGGATGAAAGTTGGTAAATGAGTGAAGAACTAAGCCTAAGATAAACTCACCTGGAAGATCTCAGTAAAGCCCATGCCAGATTCCACAAGAAAAAGACGCAAACTTACCGTTACGTTTGATGCCACGACCACAGAGAACAGTAATTTCTAGTAAAAGCTTCTTCTGGAAAAAAAAAACAATAAAACAAAAAAAGTATTGTAAATGTCAGGTATAATGACTCAAATGAGACCTTTATGTCGTAAAAAAGTTCAAAACCTTACAAATTGCCAATAAGCAAACTAAGAAAACTATAGGAGATTGAATTCAAAAGGTAGGGTATCAAAACACAGAGCGTTTTTCTTTTACAAAGAAACCATGGCTGTCAAAACTCAGTTGCTTAATGATAATGTTAATGTTGTCGAACACGTCACTACTACTTTAAACTGTTTCCTGGTAAGTTTTAGCAAAAAATCGCTAAGTTTGGGGATCATAGCTTTTCAACTTTACAGTTTGGGGTGGCCTCAACCCTTCCAGTCTGAATAGGGTGAATTTTTGAGCACTTGCGAGCTCGCGCGACTCAATAACGGCAGGTATATATAATAAGTGGTAATGATAACTTTGAGTTGATGCGAACCTTTATTCCTCTGGTAAGTCTTCTCCATTCTATCACAAATTTACCAACGAAATTCATCTGGCCACCCAAGGCTTTGTCATACGCTTGAATGCTTTCATTCAGCAGTCGCTCTCCCTTATCTCGGTGCAAATTGCGAATAGCTTTCTTCATGGCACGTTTCACTCCTGTGGCTTCATTGAGAAATTTAACAAAGTCGTTAGCAGGAGTCGCCGAAGCAATCGATAAGTATTTTTTGGCGAGCCCTGAAGCACGACGAAGATCATCAAAGCGGTCGAGTAAATCCTCCGGTTGAACTTCGTGTTGTACCATTAATGGCCCTGTTAGGCCAATTTCCGAAACTGGCACGAGCTCATACTACCAACAGATAAAGAAAGAAATCCAGGCCTTAGACCGTATACAAGGGATTGTTCACAGTTTTAATACGTCCTCGGTGGTAGGAAGCAGGGGATTAGGATGGGTGAGGGTTAGGGTTAGGGTTAGGTGGCAGGGGATTAGGTTGGGGATGTGGATCCATAAAATTTCTTGTATATGAGCTCCTGACCTTTTAACCTACCATCGTATTAAGACCGTGCAAGGCGACATTAAGTTGTGACCACGTTGGTGTTGAGGTGACAGCATGGGAAAGGGATTTGTGATTGGCTTAAACTTGCTGCTTAAACTTACAGCCAAGTACAGCAGAAAGTGGCTTGTTCTTGTTCTTACAATTATGTAGATGAAAAAATGTCCAACACTTTTAAAATAAAATATAAACCATAATAACTAACCGTCTTGTGGAAGAAGCTAAGAAAATGAAATGTTATAAAAGACTAATATATAAGCAATTCGTCCAAATCTCAGATCTTTGTGGCCCACAGTTTCTAAGTTATTTGCCGAAACGTTTCACGCATCTTTGTAGAGCTTTGTATGGAGACGCCATATTGCTGTACTGTTTTGGTGCACCAATATGGCCGCCGGAAATCAACAAAAACATCTGGAGTTCACTTTTTCTATAAAAGCTCTTTCTTTTCACTTGAGAACTAGCGTACGTGCGCATAAACATATCTTCTAATACTTGGAATGGTTATACTGCTGAAAATCAAGAGGAAAGACTTTTTTTCAACGAGACAGCATTGCTATTTTGGTGTCACGCACTGTGAAACTCGGAAGTTCAAATTGCTGTATTGTCGAAATGAAACATGCTACGGGAATGGAAACTTGTATAACGATTTACTTTTTGTTTATCTTCAACCGAGTGTAAGTAGGAATTCGTAAAACCTCGCTATTTTGACTTGACAATTTGATGACGTCACTGTGAAAAGCATCTATAGACTGAAATTTCCCTAAAATACCAAAAAAAAAAATGTAAAAAAAAAACAATTTCAATTACTAACTTGAACTTAAAGAGGAGAAAGGTCTTTTTGTCATTTTTGATAAAAGGTTTCTATTTTGGGGGGGTGAAAATATATTGTTTAACCTGCTATTTAATTCTCACGCCGGGGCCAAACCACCCCCTGATTATCGATAATTAAAAAGGATCATCAAAGCGTGGCATTGGTTAATTTACAACAACATTGTTGGCTTTAACCGTTTCTTTACCAAACTTGGCCTGAAAATTTGAAATATTGAGCCGACCAAATTGACATATATTATGACATCAAAATGTCTAATTATGACGTCACATTTGCTGGCGTCATTCATATGTAAATTTTCAACTTTAGATCTCTCAATTTTTTTAAAGAACTATTCAAGGGAAGTTGAAGGCTTAAAAAGTTTTTTCAATATCTCAACTGTGAGCTGAAATATGACATTTTCATCGCACTTGGTGGTTGGGTGGTTGGTTGGCTTTAAATTGTACACGCCACTTGATTAATGTGCTTGCGCGATGCAAGTCAGTGTGTTGAATTGCTGTAGTCCAGCCACAGTCAATCAAGTGGGCAGCAAAGGCTATGACGCGTGACAGACTTGTTATGTGTTTTTGTTAGCCCTTTTAGTCTTGACCGTGCGCAACGTTCAATAGCATTCCCATCATTTTGAGCTTACTGACCAACAGAAACATCGCATTAATTCATTCAATCATTGAATTTGTGAACAAAAAACAAAGGATTTTGCACGGTCAGGAAGCTTCCAACATAAACTGCAGCACCGTTGTTTTCATCTTTGATGTTTACCGGCTTTCATAACCGGTCTTCTCCACTAACTATGGCCCAGCGTTCTCGCGAGATGCGAAGTCCTGTGACTACCCCCATATAAGTCGCCCATAGCTAAGTGATTAGAGCGTCCTACCGGTATCGGGCAGGTCGTGGGCTCGATTCCTGCTGGGGGCTCGGGTTTTTTTCCGATCATTTCTTTTAACCTAATATTTATTTATTTCTAGGATAAATTTGTACCACAAAAACGGGGTACGCCCCTTGTAAAAAATGTCTAAATTCATCTTTATTGTCGTGTCGCCATTGCTATTTAAGAAAAACATAACATATGCTGAAGGAAAAAAATTGAATTGAAAAAGGAAATTCGTAATTGCGCAAAAACCAAGAAAACAGCTTTGTGAAGTCATAAAATGTCACGTGATCAATTTTTGTTCTTCTTGAATTAGCGTTTTTGAGTCAAAAAAAGAAAATCTAAAATGATACTATGTTGTGCCACTATGACGGTTTATGTTACCGGAAAATCAGCTTATTTTGTAAAAAAATCAATTGAAAAAACATAGAGATCGTTTTTTAAGGAAAAGTATGGTTCCGGGGGGTGCACTTAAATATCTTTGAAGTCCCATGACTCGTTTGACTCGTTTTAGTTCGGTAAAGAAATGAATATAAATGTAAAAGATACATAAATTTAGCCTAATGATCTCTTTGAGGGGTGGTTTGGCCCCACCGTCAATGTTTGGAAGTACCTGGTTCCCTCTGTTATGTTATAAATACACACAATTTAACAATTAAGGGGCAGGATGACGTTGTAATTCCAATTATAATGTCTTGTAAACGCAAAGCATGAATGTTCTTGGCTATAGTCGAAGAATACTCTTCTACATTTTTTCCAAAACAGATTTGAATGCAAACAATAAAAGTTCATTTGTCATGCTGGAGATACCCAGTCTTGAAACGTATTGTGATTGTATAGAGTATTGAATTCAAAACTTTATATTGAAAAGATTTGACGTAAAGATCTTGAAGGAATGTTACCTCGAGTGGGATTCCTTGCTGAATCTGTGCCATCTGTGCAGGAAAGTTCCTAATCTGCTCAATGAGACCATCGACGGTTGTGGGAAACTTGTTTGCTGAAACTGTGTCATAGTAACGTATTCTTAGGTCTGTAAAATTCCGATAGGTTGTGAATAATCCGTTCAATGCAGCAACAAGTCCACCATCCACGAAAGTTCCCAGCGGTGTGGCTGACATTCGTACTCCTTTATGGAATTTTTTGATATCCCTAAGATTGCAAATCAATACTTAATAATAATAATAATAATAATAATAATAATAATAATAATAATAATAATAATAATAATAGTAATAATAATAATAATAATAATGATATTATTATTATCATTATTATTATTATTATCATTATTTCTCCGGAAATCCACACCATAGCAAAATCAATCCGCTTGTCCTCTTTATAGTCAAGCATTGACTATTTACTAAATATATAAGACCATTTTTTTTTCTGTTCTCGGTGGGTGACCAAACAGACAAGAAACAGCGGGAGGCCGGACCTTCTCAATTTGTCGCACCGAACTCCAGGCTAAAAGCATCACAATGCCTACCTTTAATGTGGTAACCACATTAGAGAGATCTGCAGTTTCAAGTGTTTCTATTTTGACTTTAGTAAAGGTACTAGTTGTTGTATTAATAATGAATGAACAGAGGGTGTCACAAAAGTTTGTTCCGCTTCTATAGGAGTCCGTAAATGCAGTACGATTGGACTTGATAAGCAAATCGCTTAACGAAAACTCTTGTATTTTCAATCTTATTTTAATTAATATTTCATACTTGTTGAGCTTAAGGTGCGCGTGCGCGAGTATTTTTTCCCGCCACATCTTTTTTTGTATTTTGGAGCCCGAATTGCTCGAACTACTTCCTAAACAATTCATTCAGCAACGTGAAAGCATAACCATGGATACTACTCGATTTTCAGTCAGAGAAATTGCTTAAAAAAGTGCAAAAACTCAGAATGTTGGATGGTATAATGGTCATCGAAAAATGAAGGCTTTGAAGACAAGAAACAAAGGGGACGACCGAAAGTCCTGAATAAGCAGCTAAAATAGCTTTAAAGAAGCCTAGGTACAAAAGAGGAACTCAACTAGGTAGCTCATGCAACAGTTAGAAAGCTAAGTCTGGAGCAGGTTCGTAAAAAGCGAAGGTTGGAGACCCCTGAGATGGCAAAAAAAAAACCTGCTCAGTCCTCCAAGCAACGTTAACGTTCAGCTAAAGAAGTACAAAAACCTTACTGTGGAAAGGCTTTTTTTTGGATGAATGCCCAAATTATTATTTTATTTCTACCTAATCTTAAAATGGTATTAATTGTTTGGGGGATCGAAATCAGCTCCTGCGTACCACTGAGGGGATAAGACAACTAGCTCAACATGGATCATCTGGGCCTCTACCGGTACTACATGGCTTATCCCACTCCATGTCGCAATGCCTTAACGGAATGTGTTAAAAAAAAAAAAAAAACAAAGAGGGCATACCGGTTACTGAACTTCTGAATACGAGTAATCGATAGAGCAATAAATAAAGTTTTGGTCAAAAGTTAGAGCGAATAAAATTAGAGGAACGAACTTTTGGAACACCCTGAACGTCTTAAATCTTGTTTTTAATTTTGGACTGTTCCGCAATTTAGTCAAAATGATCTTTCACTCAATGTCTTCATTAAATAAATATGATAAATGTTTTCATTTTTAAATAATGTTTAGCTCAATTTAACTTTTGGAAAGCTGGCCGCTCTCCGTGAAGGGTGACCACCTAATTCATAGATGGCTGTTTGTATACAAATGGTAATGAATAAATAATGTTTAGTAGAATTATAGAATTTAGTAGAATAGTAGTATTAAATTCTTGAACATACGAACTGTCTTCGGACTTGAATGTTAGGCTTGCTACTAATTCTCCCCCGTATTTTACACTTCTCACGTAATGAGTGCCGATTCCAGCTACGTTCTTAAAGGGTTCCACTTGTCCTCGATTGATGGTTTCCGTGAGCTGAAAATTGATAACTTTGTTTTATAAAGAGGCAAACTTTCTCACAGACTTAAAAAACTAAAGGGGTGGTCATGTAAAAGAAAAGAGGTTTAACTTAGGGTGTTTGGTTTTAGGAATCTTGGTTCGCTTTTGCTTTGTGGTGTAAGTATTGTTCCATGTCTTTCAATATTTTGTATTACGTCATTTGGAGATCGCACCCGCCCGCCACACTAAGAAACTAATTTGGCTAGGGAGCTTAAAGGAGCGGTTCACGGTTAAGCGCATGCTCATTAATTAAATTACTTCTTTCCAATTTATTATTAATTCTATCGCTTAATAATCCCACTCACATGTATCTCAGCGATCTCAGAGTATATTTCAAAGTAGAACTGTCGCTTAATAATCCCACTCACATGTATCTCAGCAATCCCAGAGTATATTTCAAAGTAGAACTGTATTCAGAGTAACCTGAAGTAGGATGGAGAAGTACTAAAATCGCAGAAAAAATTAGTGGATTATGCTACCACTACCAACGTAGAATTTATTGTTGACCCGAGGGTTTTATTCCATGTTTGATTGATTTACAGCTATTTGCAAATATTTAAGTTGATCAAGTGCAAGTGACTGCCAGGGGAGTGTGCAGATTGGTTCTTTGACAACATTATGAGATGATCATATTGCTTGCATAGACGATACAGCAAGTCCCGGCAGAGAAACAGCATTATGATAAATGAGCTTGCGCTGGACCGTGAACCTGGCCCTTTAAAGGTGATGTTATACGAGGTAATTTGGCAACAACGATTTTTAGCACAACACAGCGTTGCAACATTGTTACGACATTGTTTCGAATAGTGACAACATTGTTCCAATATTGCAACGCTGTGTTGCGCTAAAAATCGTCGTTGCGTATTGTACCGTGTAACATCACCTTTAGCAACGAAGAAGGCAATAGGCCAAGATTAGCAAAACAACAACTTTTCACGTGCATCACGCTTTTTTTGTACATTTCTTTGCCGTCGTTGCACGACTACAACGTGAAAGTGCCTAATTTCACGTTTTGTCGAGGACGGGAACACAAGACAACAACTTTCTTCAAGTTTTCTTTTCCTGAACTTTGATACAGTCCTTTAGACTCAAATCCAAAAGATTTTGCCAACATTTGACGGATAAAACGGATAGAATAAGCGCGATAAACTTTGAAGCAGCGCGAATTCACTTTTTAAATGACGTTCTTCGCAGCCGTCGTCGTCGTTGCTAAGCTCCCTAGTATGTAGGCCGCGGTTTAAGACACTCAATGACCTTCAAATCAGCTTATCAGGTGTACATTCCCAGCATGGTTAGTAGAGGAGGTTTTTTTTGATAACCGACAAATTACATATCGGAGTTGAAAACAACGGTTTTGTAGTTTATGTGGGAAGCTCCCTGACCGTGAACAATCCTTTGTTTTTTGTTCACAAACTGTGACTAAATAAAATAATGCGATGTTTCTATTGGTCAGTAAGTTCAAAATGATAGTAATGCTATTGAACTTTGTGCACGGTCAGGTCCGAAAAAGCTAACAAACACACATAATAAAGGAGTCTAACGGGCTTCATAACCATTCTACTTTTGATCAATAACTTTGTTCTAAGTAGGTACATGTTCTATTACACTGGGCTGCAAGCCTTCATGACCCTGTTAACATCAAAACAAACTGAGACGTAAGTGTAGCTACTCGGGATTCTGCCAACAAATTCAACAATATGACGTCATAATGACGTCTACTTATGTCATTGTGTCAACCAATTTATGTCTAGATGCAGGAAGTGCACATTATGCTGTGGAAGTTTGGTTGCCTCATAAGCTGTCAGACGAAAGCAACGTTTCGATGACTTATAGTTTAGATGGAATGTGTGTCAACCAAATTAACGAACTGGAAATGTGCATTTTACACGAAATGCTGTGCATAAAGATGAAGAGACCGTAACTGAACACAAGAAATGACTTTATTCGTGCACCTGAACTATTTGCTAAACATTAGGTGAACATCAGTTTAGTACTTTATTACTTTTTCTTCTTATTGCTTTTAGTTTATTTCCACATTTTTTTCACAAATCATTCTTTCACTTGTTTTCTTCCACATTCCATATAAACGTAACTGCGACTTCTTAAAATTGTCACTTGAACAAGCATTTCCACTTGTAGTCATAGAAACTTTGTGTTTTTAAAATTGTTTAGAGTCGCAAATTTATTTCTTAATTGGTAAA